ACACCAACTTGATTACTGGCTTGAAAAACTAGTAAAAGAATATTCTTTGAACTATTAAATTAGAAGATGATTAAAAGACTAGTTAGCTACAAATTAAAAATAACTAGAGTATTTAAAACCAGAAAAAACTAAATAGAAGAAAAAGAATATATACTAAAAAAAATTATATATTAAGGAAAAATAGATCAAAAGTACTTAGAGCTAGACTAGGGTCAAATCTTCTAGATTATAATTAGAAGTAAAAAAAGAACCAGTAAGAAAATTATAAAAAAAAATATTTAAATATAAATACTAAGATCACAAGTAAATCTTATAAGAGTATAGTAGTTAAATAAAATATTTTAACTACAAGTAGAAGCTTTAGCAACTATGATAATTAGATTAGCCTAATTGAAATAAAAAAGGCTCTAGTAGATTTATTTCAAAAATAGCTATATATTTATTTAACAAAAAAATACAAGCTAGTAAAGTTAGTACAAACTTAGAATAAATTATAAAAGTTTTAAAACAAAGTGTACAATTTAGTAAAATAGGCCAGATTGTAGTTTTTATATTAGTAAAATATAGTTAAAATCAGAAAATAACTTTTTAGTTAGTTATAAATATGGTATTTAGTATAGAACCTGTAAATAAACTATTTAAATAAGTATTTAAAAGGTGCATATATAGCTAGTTGTATTTTTATTATAATTATAATAATAAATAATAAATAATAAAAAGTTTTTATTAGCCAAAGAGGTTAGCTTAATACTAAAAAAAAAAACTAATACTATATAGAAAAATGTTATAACTTAATAAAGTAGTAGAGTTGTTATATCTTAAATAGCAGATTTAAAGTTCAAATGGATCTTCTTTAGAATAACTAGGCAATATAAAAATATTATAAGATTATAATATAAAAAAACACAAACTCTAACCCTAATCTAACTTTAATATACACTATATATAACCCTTACCCTAACTCTAACTAGTCTCAAATTTGTATAAATTAGATTAAATAGTTATTTATTTATATTATAATTTTATAGTATTTTTATATATATTGCCTAATTATACTAAAGATCAACCATTCAAATCATATAGATAATAATTTTAAAAATTAGATCTGTGATATAGTTAATAGTTATAATAATTAGTTGGGTTTAAAAACCTATAATCTTGGTTATACTATTTTGAACAGAAGCTTTGATATAATAAATCAAAAAACAAAATTACCAAAAATTTATTTGGTAAGTTTCAAGTTAAAAGGTAAAATAATTTTTAATAGTATTACAAAAAAGCTAAATTTAAAACTAAAAATTAAGATTAGAAAATTAAACAACAAGATTCTTAAATAGAAAAATATACTAGCTGAATTACTAAATTATTATTATTAAAGAAAAAAGATATATATTCTAGAAGTATATATATACTAAGAAGAGGATAACTATAAGGTATTTAAAGCCTAAGCAAACCAACACTTCTGAGTTAAAAACTAGAAATAAAAAAGAGATTAGTAAAGAATCTGAAAAAAAATAGAAGTTTAAATATAAGTACTAGAGTTGTTTTAAACTTTATAATAGCAAAAAATAAATATATAATAAATTACAAATTAAAAAGGCTATAGTTTGAAATATAAACTAAGTTGTAGCAGTATTTAAAATAACTTGAGATACAAACTTAGTAATAGCAGTATAGTATATACTAGTTAGAAAAAAAGTTACCAAATATATAAATAAAAATATTTATAGAATATAAACTACTTTATTAGATTTACTTTAAGAATAAATCAGTTCTAGATTGGTTGCAAAATCTATAGATGTTGCAAAATCTATATATAATATATATATATAGTAAGTTATATTTTAGTTAAATAAGAAGTAATCAATAATTGTAACTAAAAAGTTTAAATGAGTAACTTTATAGTTGGGTTGCAGATATAAATAGCTAGTATAGAACCTTTAAGCAAACTATTTAAATTAGATATCAAAATGCATATATAGCTAGTTGTATTTTTATTATACAGTATATATATACTATATATATATATATATTTTTTTTAGTATTAAGATGATCTCTTTGGCCTAGAAACTCTTTATTAGTAATCATTTGTTATTATAGTTACAATAAAGATATAACTAGCTACACATGCACCTTTTAAGTATCTATTTTAAGTAGTCCACCCACAGGTTCTATACTAGATGTCTATTTATAATCTAACTAAAAAGTTATGCATTTAAACCTTCTGATCCTAACTATTTTTAAACATATTATACTAACTAAAAAACCACCAACAGCCCATTCTACTAGATTGCGCACCCTGTCTTAAGACTTCCTGTAGTTTATTTTGGGTTTGTATCAACTAATTACTAGCTTGAATTCCTCTATTGAGCAGATATACAAGCTATCTATAAGGTAAATCTACCAAAGCTTTTTCTATTCTATTTAGACCAATCTGGTTTTGTATAATTGTTAAGACTTCCACTTGCAGTTAGAATTATTTTTATTTAACCGCTTTTGCTTTTATAAGGTTTACTCCTAATCCTAGTACCTATATTTAGACTTTTTTTTTTTTTTATTATTTCCTTATTAGTTTATCCCTTACTTCTAACCAGTAACCCAGAAAATTTGATCTTGGCTTGGCATTAGGTGCTAGTACTCTCATCTTATCTTGATATATGATTTTCAGCATATGTTCTTTTTTCTAAATTCAGTAGACTAGTCTTTTGAATATGCTTGGCATTTTTCTATTAGTTATCTAACTTCCATAGCCTCTAGTCTTGGTAGATAGAGCTCTTACTACTAGTTTCCCATGCTAGTTGGCCAAGATTAGTATACTTTATAATGCTTCACAGATTTTCAACTTTTTAAATTAGCAGTTGGGTTGGTAAATCCCCCTACTAAAGGATCTTGTTGTCATTCGGTTCTTCAATCTTGGTCCTAACTTTCAAATTCAGGTCTTTCCTGTGATACTATCAAAGATTGTAGCTACTCCTTACTTAGGTCTTCCCAAACGGGTTTCAATTATCCCAGTTTCTTGGCCTTTTATATATCGAAACTCCCATATAAACATAGTGTCACCAAGATTACAGATTCTACAACCCAACTGATTAACAAATAATCGTTACCGTAATGCAGGATTATTTTTCGAAATCATTGTCTGTGGGATTCAAACTTTGGATTTGCTATTTGGTGAAGTGATGACTAAACCATTTTACTAAGCCACCACATCTCTTATTTTTATTATATATAATTGTAAAATATTATTAATTATCTAATAAAATATTTCTAGGCTAAGAGATTATATCAACACTAAAAAAAAAAACAATATTATATATTAAAAATTTATTTTAACTAATTTGTCTCTGTAGTTAAAATTATAAATTTTAACCATTTATAATTTATTATCAATTTTTATTATAAATTTTTGTTTTAAAATTTAAAATTGAAATTGAAATTAGTATAAAGATTGTTTGAAATTAGAATTAAAGCTAGTATAGAGTTTTTTAAGGTGCTAAATATTTTTATTTAATAGATCAGATATAGTTATTTAGTCTAGTTTTTAAAATAGTATAAAAGGGTGGTTATATATATAACCAGGAGAGCAAATTAGCAATACTCTTAAAAATTATAGTTAGAACTAAAACTAAAAAAATAAGTACTAAAATTTAATAAATTTACTTGCTTTTTTTTCTTTTTTTATTTATAACTAATATTTTTTTTATTTTTATAGTTTGTACTATTGCTAAAAAAAGCAAAATAACACTAAATAGAGTAGAACTAATATAAAAAAACAAAAATATATATTTTTTGTTTTAATTTTTTGTTTTTTTTTTTTTTTTTTGTAAATAATATATAATTTTGCCTTGTAAATTTGTACTTTATTGGTATAAGCAAAATAGTATACAGAATAATAATAAAACCAAAAATTAAAATTAAAGCTAAAAAAGCAATTTAGATCTAGAAAAAACTTAAAAACTATTTATTAATAAATACTAGTTTTTAGTTTTTCAACTTTATGTTTAATTTTTTTTTTTTCTTATTACTAATATATTTTTTTTTAATTTTTACCTAAAAACATAAATTTTTTTTTTTTTTTTTAAGCCAAGACCTTGGTCTTAGTTGCTTTTATTAACATGATTAAGTTATTAACTTTATACAAAGTAAACCCAACCTATATATACTTTTACTGCAACTAGAAACTTAAAGCTATATTCAGATTATCTATATCTAAAAACTACCTAAACCAAATATTTCTAAGTATATATCTATAATTGTTTCAACTATAATTTAAATACTGAAATAAACATAATTACATCCCAACACATGAAAAAAAAGAAATTTTTTCATATCATATGAGTTTGCTGCATCAGGAAATTTTTAAATATGGTGGATATCGATTACCAGCTGCAGAGGCGATTGCCATCGATTAGGAAAATCGACAATAATCGATATTGTAGCTAATCGATACACAATCGATAAAAATAATCGATTTTAATTTAGTTTTGATATCAATCGATTTCAATCAAAGCAATTCTAATCGATTTTAATTAGCAGCTTTGTTGTCAATCGATTCTAATCAGTATCGCTGGTAATCGACAGGGATGCTGCTTATCGATTGACATTTCTTTCTGTCAATCGATTGCAAACCAATTTAAAAATTTCCTGATGTGGATAATTAAGTTTACGTTGCTGAAATTAAAAAATAAATAAAACAGTAATCAATTTTAAATAAATGACATTATTTTGCCATGGAATGTTTTAGTAATTAAACATAGGCATTGATCAGTCAATTAAATATAAAAAATAAAGGTGATTTATTAAGAATTAGGAAATTCAAAACTAGTAAAGACAATTAATTACACTTAAAAAAGTATCAACAGACGAAACAACTTGGCTAATTACATATATAGTAAAGTTAATCAAATTTGTGTTATATACACAATCAAAAAAAAAAAAAAAATCAAAAAAAATTGTAAAAAACAAACATTCAGCGTTTAACAATTCCAAACGTTACTTTTTTATTCGCTTTGACTCGTGGGTGATGATAATGATATAACGCTAACTCTCTTAGGCTTCGGATTTAAACCAGCTATTTTAATCCAAAATATAGTTAGTTTAAAGAATTGGTTTAAATTTGTTATTACTGACGATTATGGCAAGGAATTACGTACCTGAACGCGCAATTACAAGAAGTAGATCCGTCAAACTCACCTAAAGATTATTAGAATAACGCTTGAGTAATAATAAAAGATTAAGCTTACAAATATAACTGAAAAAAAAAGGTATCTACCACGCCAATAGCACGCATTCGTTCATCTACCACCCAAAGACGATGGGCCTTTGTCGCAGTTAATTTGGCAATAGTATAACCTAAAGCTGATGTTGGACGGGCATCAAATACAGGATATCTATCCTATAAATTTAGATAATTATATAACATTATAAACTAGGCGACGCAAAAAAGTTAAAGAGAATTTATAACACATTTTTGTGAAATTTTGTTGCGAGTCCAGATAGGTAGAAAATTCAAAGTTCCGTTTTTGATAATCGTACTCATCAAAAAATGACAATATGGTAGAATCAAAAACGGAACTTTTGTATAACTTCGCAACGCTCTGAAAAATAATCACCTGTCCGTCCTCAAGTCCTTGCCTGCTTCTCACATGACTAACAAATTGATGACACGTTTTCCACATTAAAAAATGACTATAACTTCGTAGAACATACTATTATATGGAAAGGATAAATGAGTAGAGATGAATTATATAGCGTAAATTAAGCATCTTAAAATATTACAAACCTTAATGTCTGTCATGCTTATGTTACCAAGTAACAACCCTTCAGGATCCACGATAGCAATAGAACTAAAACCATTTTTAACTGAAAAAAAATTTGGGAAGATTGGTATAATAGTATATGAAAATCGCATATGACAAAAAATATAATAAACATATAACATACTCATCATTGTCAACGCGTCAAGCACAAATGAATCACCTTGGGCAGAAATTACGAAACCCCTTCCTATATCAAGTTCATTAAGCTAAATAATGAATTAAAGCATGTTATATAAGTAACTAATGGTTCATAAGAATATGACATAAAATTACATACAATACCGTTTTGGGGAAGAGTTGCTCGATTGGAGGAAATTTAGTCACCTAACAGCCGGGAATCATAAAATTAGTAAGTTGCTCCTCAAAGGATAAGCAGGTGAAAATAAGAATATATAGTAAATATATAGTACATTTTGATAAAAATAATTAACCACTCTTGATTGAGTTAAGATTCCTTTAATAACTCCATCCGCGTCTAAAACGGCAACTGTATAATTGTCGAATTTCTGATTAATATTGACTGTAAAACATTTAAGCAGATTAAAAATGTTTTACACGCTAACCTCTGTGAGTTCCACTTGCAAACAATTCAACAACTTGTAACAGCGATGTTTCTGGAAGTACACTATAAAAAGGATTTTTCTTTGAAAGGTCTAAAAAAATGGAATTAATTTATATCAGCAACGCGGCAAATTTACAGATAAGAATTTTATCATTAATCCTAATCTTACCGGAAGCTAATTTGACGGGAACAGGTTGACAATGACTCGCCAATTTTACTAAATCATTAAATTCAGCAGATAGTTCAGCCTCACTTTTCTCTAGTTGTTTTGAAGCATCCTTTTTCTTAAGAACAATTAACAAATATGTCATAACGTCAGCCCAATCAAACATGCCCGAATAACTCTTCGTTGAAGCATCGTAGACTGGCGCTGAAGATATATTGTTTCGCGTAAGGATCTGTGACAAAAGACAACTTTTAGAGGTAGAAGCAAAGATTTTCAAATTAAGCCTAAATAATTTAACATGCTCACGTCACAAGCTTCTTCAATTGGTACCTCTCCGTCACTAAAAAAAGATATATATTGCACTTTTAATATTTGGCGAATAAATAAAATAATATTCACGAACGAATTACAAAACACGAAGCTTACATTACAATAACGTTTTGATCAGCTACAAGGTCAATAGCTTTAATCAATGTCCAATCATGAGTTTCGGTAGTAACGCCTTCACGATGCGCGTCTTCTGATAAAGTTGAACGACGAGAGCTTGGAAGTCCAGTTATTGGATCCATTGGTTAGTGTCAATAATTATTCGAATTCAAGAAGTATGGTACGTGTAGATAAGTATGTTATAGTTTTATAGTTTTATAGTGATAAGTAAAACGTCATCCGATTCAATGAGTGTTACACAAAATGTCAGCGGATTTTAGAAAAGTGGCTCCATGACATGAGGAGCACCTCTCTGATATCTATATATGTTGTAGAATACCTATATTCGGAATCAATTTAAGTAATTTAAGTGAAATTTAACTCAAGTGGGAATTGAATATTTATAAAAGTGATATATTTTTAAAAAACAATGTAATATTATGTTACATTATCTTTCAATTAGTACGTACAAGTGATATAAGTTCATTCACACTATAGGTAGTATCGAGAACTATGATTCATCTGGAAATATATAATCTTTAGTAGAGTATTTGAATTTTCATTCAGTTTGGTATTCGATAAGTGACCATTTATTCTCATTTTGTGACTATAATTATCTGAGCTAGAGCTCTTACCGGGTCGGGTTGATTCAGATTCTTAACGGGTCACGGGTCAAAAATTGGCTCAACCCGGGTTAAACGGATAATGGATAAACATGGATAAAATTCATATTGATATAGATAAAATCTAGTGATACATTTGACGTAGAAAATAGGAGAGAAATTTTTCATTTGTTATATATTAATATAGGCACAACATAAAATCGAGAATAACCTACGTAACTATTGATCCAAGTAGTCGCTACATCAACTTTATGTAAGTGTTAACTTTAAAATCTTTGATTTTCCATATGACCCGTTAACCCGAGTCATGACCCGAGTCAATATCCGACCAATTATTTTCTGACCCGGTAAGTAGCTCTAATCTGAGAAATTGGATTGGTTTCAGTTTTTAATTAACCCAATATATAGATCTCTTACTGGGTTAATAAATATCGTGATAATAGGATCATAATCGTTTGTGAAATAAAGGTCTAAAGATTTTTATCCAAGGATATTCTGATTGACATCTTGGGTTAAGAAAGCTTTCGAAATAAAATAATAATTCATTAAAGTAAAAGATCGCTTCAAATCTATTTTATGACTAATAACATGATCATTAAACGCATTTCGTATTATATACTATGATATGATCGCATAAAATTCTGTATCCACAATTTTTTTTTTCAATATCCTAATTCTTTAGTTATTATTGAATCATAATTGTTTTATTCAAATCAAATTTATTTGTTAAGGTATTCAATAGCTTTATATTTTACACTACAAAATAAATTTAAAATCGAAATATATCAAATATTTTCGTTTAATAAAATTTGATTTTGATCTGAAGGTTTATCTGTTTTCAAAAAACAGCAACATACATAATTTTTAAGTCTAACTATACCACGTTTAATACTAGCAATCAAACCATTATATTTTTCATAGATCCAAGGGTTAGATTTCGATATTCGATCAATGCGTAAGCGATGAGAGGAATCAATACATATGAAGATGCAAGCCTTTAAAATACATGCAACACGTGAGTATGAACATATAATTAAAATAATGATAAATAGTAATATTGCTTACAAGTATCGACATAAGAACTCCTAAAGCCGATGAAGCAGAAATCATAAACATGATAATTTGCTGATATTTTATTGCATCCATGATAGGTGCACCACCAATTAATTGACCCGTCAACATTCCTATATAACAGTAAATCGTTATTATATAACTGAACTGGAATATATATACAGTATATATATATATTTTTACCTGGAATGGAAATCAATCCTATTATACTGAATAAAAGTGAAGTGCAATGGGTTTCATGTTTATATCTATTACAATTTTAAACATTCCTAACATATCAAATAATCGAATATTTCAAACCTCATCGCATTAATAGTAGGTAACATTGCCAATCTGGTTGCTTCCGCTGCAACAGAACGTCCAGCTTCCCATCTGGTAGCACCATAAGCTAAACATATTTCTATTTTTTCTTTTTGTTCACTAAATTGTTCTAACGCGTAAGATACAGCAACAGCTATTGCAGACATGCAATTCCCAAGTAACATGCCCATTGTTGGAATGAATACCTGAGGATCCCAAAATGGCATTTGATGCATAGCAAAGCGAGATCCTTTAGGCAATTATCAAAAAGAAGATGACGAAATTTTTAGATATTGGTAATCATATTAACAAATGAGGGTTCTAAGAATTGAGAAATTTGGTCATACCTACCCATAATTCCAACCAACATAGTACTCGCTCCTAACGAAAATAGTACGGATGCATACTAAAATATCCAATAACAGTTAAACAACAATTAAATAACAATTAAATAAAGATAAGAAAACTTATTAATATATTTTACCATTCCCATATGCCGTCTTTTGCTTTTGTTGAATACAATTTCACTAGCACCCAAGAAAACAAGCACAACTTGAAAGGTCATAAAACCAAAATTATTATAAACATCAAATCGAATGACAATGATATAATAATAAAAAAAAATGCTTACATATCATTCCTAATACAACAGCCGGATGGCGCATTTTGAAAACATCTTCGAGGACTAAGCCCTAATTAATGAGAATTTCAATATTTTAAAAATTATTCATAAAATTTTATCGATTTAAACAATCGACTTACCATAATTGTTAATTGTATAACACATCGAACCGAACTAATTAATAAAGACCTCTCTAAACGTAACCCTAGCCATAAAGAAATCAAACCTATAAAACCATGAATGATAAAATTTTAAAATTTGACGTCCAGTCAAAAGCAATGTAAAATAATTAGAATTCATATAATCATACCGCTGACGAGAATAAACAAAGAGGCTATTGCAACATTCCACCAATGAAGGGGAATATTGTTAGGTTTGTCTGGACAAGTTCCATTGTTCGGAGGTTGCAATAGAAATGTTGAAACTGGAAAAAAATCCATGCGTCAAGACCAGGAAATAACTTATATCTCGATCAAGATCTAGTTTCATAGCTGGTTTAAAGATTGTGTGATTGGCTGTTACCCGGGCCTCATCAATTTTAGATCAGTTACACATAATTTCATCAACAGTTCATTACCCTTTTTTTTATATTGATTTATAACGATAACGATAAAGCACTTTCGATTTCTAAAAATCGAATAGCATCGGGTACTATTCACGAATCCAACGATCTTATTGGCAAGGAAGTTACCTTATGTAGTAGGATATGATTTTCGAATCTATTTTCATGCTGTCTTATGCACATTCACTTAATTCACCAACTTCTATATAATAACACGAGTGCTTTTGAGCTTCAATTTATCATTGATTGTTTATTCCCAAGTGATTACGTATAATACAGTATATCAGATTTTTAAAGGGCCGAGTCCAATGAATAAATCAAAAAATTGAAAGCCTAAACTCTCATTTTACCTTGGCAGCATTCATATGTTGAAAGTGTAAATTATTAATAACGTTAAAGATAGTCAGGATAAGATTAGATTTTAAGTGTAATTATTATTTTCAATCTAATTCCAAATCCATTTATAACCAAAATCGGCCTTTCAAACAAATGAAATAGCATTAGATCCCGGATAGAGTTGTAATGAGTTGGATTGACAATCCTTAACCCACTCCATTAAATTAGATTAGTTACAATAATACCTAGGGTGAGAACCCAACAATGATAATACTTAAAAGAAAAAAAGGAAGTTAGTTTAACATAGCACACAACATTTTACTCCGAATTGCTTCGGTTCTATTCCGGAGTGCTCCGGAATAAGCTACTCCATTAACAATCCTGATCCCAAATTGAATTGTAACAAGTATTAATTTGATTGATTCGGACAATTTTTCCGTAAAGCCTGATCAGACAAGGCTTAATTTAATAACTAACTAATTTGCACATGCTTTAAATAAAATGTATACTTGTTTATTACTGTATTATACAGTTATATAAGAGGAAATAACAAATCTATTTGTTGCACCCTTTTCTGATTTAACTGCCTTATATGAAAATATGCTTATTAATTTTACAAAACCAAAAAAAAGCAAGTGTCAGGTGAAAATTCTAACTTTAGAATTCTCTACACAACGGAGTAGAGTCTCCAGGATTCTGCTGCGATTATTAATATTGCAGATTCTATGACGACGTATAAATAATACATATTTTAAAAACAAAATTAGAAATTCATTACAATAACTCAGGCCGCAAGCGGGACTGCGCAAAAGCAGGATTCTGCAACCGCGGATTTCTGAACACTCTAACGGAATACGATTCTATTGTAATTTTCACTTGGCGCACTCCGAAACAGGGTTGGTACATTTATTCATTGAGACGAATAGAGAACACCTCCATTGCCATTGGTCCATTGGAAATGATTTATGAACGGAGCTAATAAAATATATATCGCCATTTTTATTATATTAATATATAATTAATAGATTTTCCATAGACGACTAACTGTGCACAAAATTGAAAGTCCGTTTTCTTTCATATAAAATTAATCCAATGGAGTAATAGAGCCAATGGATACTTTCCATTGGCTCCATTGGCTTCATTTATCAATGAATGCCATCCCTGCTCCAAACTGATTTTCGGATCTTGTGATAAGACGCGACTTAAAATGAAATTTCAATATTTATCGTTTACATAATTCTGTAATTTATATTCAAAAAATAATAAAATAACATTATGCCACACCCGTTAAACGTTAAAAGTACATATAATTAGAGGTGATCTATTCTTAAAAATTTCAAAAAATGTCAACCATCCGCGATAAAGGTTTTCAGTATGAACATGATTTAATTGAAAATTTTAAACGTAATAAAATTTTTTCATTTTCATTCGATTGGTCACCATCTATAATCAATGAAAACAGTAACAAAGAACTTGATATACACTGTCGTCATAAAAGTTCTTACTTTCTCGTACAAGCTACCGCTCGTGAAAATTGTGATAATTATTTAACAAGTCCATACCATTCATTCATTAATTTTACAATTCCTGGTATTTACAAACCTTTATTTGTTACGAAATTAGCTGAAGAATTAAAATATGATCTTAGTGACCAAAACTCTAAGATTATTTTTAATGAAATTGAAGTTATTAATGAAATTAAAAGAATTGAGGATGATACCAGAGACAACGAACTTTATGAATCTATTTTAAATAGCCAATCTAGACATAATAAAAATGATCGGGAAGAAGAAATCAATTTTATTAAAGCTTTAGATGCAGATATTAAACTTTTAAAAATTAGACATTCCTACGAATTATCCTACAGATCTCTTCCTCTTAACTATTGTGGCTTTGTTTTTATTGATGGAAATTTTGAATTCGTGATTCGTTATGAAACTGACAGAGACAATGATCGTCAGGAAGAATATTTGACAAACTTCAAGGACGGAATTGAAGCTCACTTACCGCAAAATGTTTGGGGTATATATATTGCAAATATCAACCCTGAACAAATGGAAAGGTTACGACGAATCTGTACTACATCCTTTACCAGAGAAATATATATTCTTGATCAAAGAACCATTGATAATTCTCTTATTTCAGAGAAACGAAAACGTGTTCTTCGAAAAATTTATGAAAATAGACATTTTCTTCAATAAAAAAATTTTATTTATTTAATTTTTTTTAGAAGATTTGTCGTGATGTTAAAGAGACATAGCCTATCGTGAGGAGAAAATTACTCTATCTAATATGATTCAAGATGCAGAAATTTAGACGATTCGATCTAAAATCATATAACATGGGAATATTTAATTTCTTAATGCTGGCCAAATTTAAATTGCCTTATCCGAAAAAAGAAATTTACATTTTTGATATAAGATCAAATCTACCCAGATTCAAAATTTATTTAGATATAACCATAAATTTTGATTAGCTAGTTTTTTTTTACATCTAGGACTATATGATAATAAAGTTTAGATAATAAAAATTAAATTTTTTTAAAAAAATATTTATGTACATTTAACCGTAGGTAAAATCACCGCCCTTATGTTTTTAGGGTTAGGGTGTAGTTTAAGACAAAGAGAATGGTTAGGTATAATAGTTCAAACTTAATTAAGGTTAAGTTTTCAGGAGTGCTGAACATTTTTACTAGAATACCTGACCTTAATTATTTAGTACATTTTTGTGATTTCACTCCGGTTAAAATTAGAAATTCTCTTATATAGAAAATACAATATTAAAATTAAGAGAATTGTTAATTTTAACTGGAAACATAGTTATCGAGACAAACAAGTTTTTTTTTACAAAATCACCGAGATGCTTTATCTCAAAAATGTACTAAATAATTAAGGTCAGGCATTCTAGGTAAAAGTAGGGTTGTAATAACTTACTTGACAATGTAACTTATATTGTGAGTTACATCGTAAATTACAAAATATATCATAGTAAAGCAGGTTTAGTATTAATGCCGGCTAGAATAAATTTAGTCTGTAATAAAGTTATTAAAAGATGAATTTTTAATTTACAATAACTTAAAATTTTAAACTTATATTTTAAAAATAAGTTACACAGCCCTAAGTAAAAGTGTTTAGCACTCCTGAAAACCTAATCTTAATTAAAATTTGAACTATTATATCTAACTACACTCTTTGTCTCAACTTCACTCTAACTCTAAAAATATAAAGGTAGTGATTTTATCTCTAGTTAAATATAGTTATTATTTACATTAAAATATAATAACTATATATATCTAAAATTTAATTTTTCTTTAATTTCAAATTAATTTAAATTTTTACAACATATATATAAATTTTAAAAATTTAAAAAAATTAAAGTTTATTTAAACATTTTAATAGTTAAATATTGATAGTACAATATTGCTACTACAGTATATAAAAATTAGTATTTTTTTTATTTAACACTATTATATAAAAAATCAAATAGCTTATTTAAAGAAATACAATCAAAATAATTTATAGTAATCATCACCACCTCTAGATATATTTAGAATTAGAGTACAGCTTTAAAACATATAAAAGTTTTTTATATAATATAATGTTGATTAGATATAAGGTTCCAATTTTAGGTTTTATAAAATTTTTAAAGATTTTGAACATTTTTATTTAGAAATCTAATTCTGTTTATTTAGTATATTTTTGAGATATAAGTATCCTGGCGATAATCACTACTAGTTATAGTTAGATTTATTCATATTTAAATATTAATATTTTATAATTTAGTAAGTATTATTATGTAAATTTAAAAATTATAATTTATATATAGCATATAAATATGTTATAAAATATTATAGTATAATTTTTTAAAAGATAAAATCTAAATAGTGCTCATGTATATTGTGTTTCCAAGTTTTAATAACAAACAAAAACAAAGAATAATATTAGAGTTAGAATTAGAATTAGTGTTAGAGTTAAAGGTAGAGCTTTTTAGAATAAAATTGTAAGAAAACTATTATACAACAGGATTACTCTAGTAAAATTTTTGATATTGGTAATTTTTATAGTAAGGAGTACAAAGTATATAAGGCATTGTCTAGTTTAGTTTTTTTAAAATTTAGATTTTTTTTAAAAAGTATTTTTATTTATATATATATAATGTGTTTATATATACTTTAGTTATATAAAATATAATAAAAAAATACAATTTGCAAATTAATTTTTTATATAACAAAACAAAGCAAAACATTAAAAATTATTTATATTTTAAAACTTTGCTTATAAAACTATAAAATTATTTGCAAAATTTTAGTATAAACTACTGTATATTTTGTTTTTATTCTAGCTTTTAATTTAACTCTAATATTTAGTTAAAATTAATTTTATTTTAATAAAAATTAGTTTAATTTATATATTATATAAATATTTTTACTTAGTATTCTCAATTCTAATTATAATATATATTTAGAAATATAGCGACACTGATAATACGTAATTACTAGTAATAATAAATAGCAAACTTCTTTTTTTTTTATTATAAAATTTTATACCGGTATATATTATATAATATACAGTAGTTTATTCAAAACTAATAATCATTTAAAGCCCAAGATAATGTTTTAAAAAAAAGCTAACTATAAATAAATCAATATAGCAAAAAAGTTTAGTTATATTACGTATTATGCAGCATACAATATATAATAACTTTACATTATTATAGTATTTCATAATATGAATATTTAAACAAGTTTAGTTTAGCAAAAATTCTTTATTAAAAAATCAAAAATTTTAACTAGCTATAATTATTGATTAATTTCGAAATTTTTGGTAATACATAAGTCATAATATAAAAAAATTATTTAATTTACTAAATTAGAAAAGTTAGTAAAAATATTTTCTAACCAAAATGAAAATCTTTTTTAAATTTTACTAAACTAAATTTGATAAAAATTCTACATACGCAATTATAGAATTAAAATAAAATTTTTCTATTAATTTGGTTTAGTAGTTATTAAGATAAACAGTACGTACAGTAAATCAATATTAATTTTTCTAAAAAAGATCACCAAAAATGGATTTGTCCTTCTCTCTAATGATTCCCCGAATGTCTATTACTTATGTTAGTCAACATATTATGAAATTGAAAGCGAAAACTGATTCTTTTCTTGTTCGAAATTCAATTCTAAACCCAATTCTATGGTTCGAACATTTTACTTGTATGAATTTTTTTTTGGTTAATGTATTGTAATACAGTACTAATGCATGCAAAGGTTGGTTATAATGATTATAATGCTGTAATGACCGACAAAGATCACGAAATTCACGCTGATCAGATTTTCTTTATCAATTATAATAATCGTAATGGCTGTAATGTGATGTGATAAATGAATTTATTTGTTTAAATGCGCGTCATAAAATGATCGATAAAAAGAATGATAAAAAAAAAATTTGATTTAATTAAATTAAGCATGATTAATTTAAAGATTTGTTCAAGTGTATCTCTTTTTTGAGATAAAAAGGTAAAAACTTTACGCAAAGATTATTATGAAATTCCTATTCCAATTTAGTCTAAGAAAAAAAAAACATATTTTTTAGTTTGTGTGACAAATAATATACGGACCAAATTTTGACGCTTCTAATTATATTCATGAAGAATGAGATCTATTTATTCTACGCGTAAAATTTGAAAAATTCCGTTAAAACATTTTATGTAAGGACTATGTAAAGGGAGTCAAATTTTCTTGTAATAGCAAAGTAAAAATAGTCGGGGTTGATTGAGAAATCAATCTTTTCACCGAAGAGTAATATTTAGTTTAAAACATCAACATCAAGTTTTCAACCCCTAAACAACGTTCAATCAAGTGAGGTATATTTAGATGGTAAAGGTATTAAAAGGAAAAGAAGAAACCAAAATCCAAGATTGCAAAAAGAAAGTTTTCAACTATGCATTTCATATAATTCATATATGTACTTGCAAAATTATATATTTAATGATTGGTTCTAATCATGTAGAAACTCATGCAAAAAAACTTTCTACACTGTTTCATGTAATTAAATGTGATGACAGATAATAAATCAAAAAATAATTCGTATGCTTAAATTATATGTATAAACGATATGCTGTGATCTTAACACCCTACCATACATCTTCTTGAAATCATGCACTTTCATGCGAGAAAATAAGATTTTTTTTTAAAAAAAAAACGAAGTAGGGTTCTTAATGCACATTTAATCTTAGTTTGAAACACAAAGAAATGTGATAAATATACAGAAAAATTAGATACGTTGTATTATCATGAATGAAAATAAGTAAAAATTTTATACTTTAATGAATGAAGGGCATATAAATTTGAAATGTTGTAATTAATGAGAAAAAACATGTAAATGTTGTACGTACATACCTAATTATATCTAATTATATCTAATTATACCTAATTATACCTAATTGACAGATTATGTATCCTACTTGACCCTCCTGTAATGCCTGCCATTTAGTTTATGCAAAATGAATCTTTAATCACCAATTCTATTCAAATATTTAAAGTTTATGGTAATGTTCTATCAGATATAGATAGATACATACATACGTACAGTACGTAAGTATGTATCTGGTATGTATCTGATATATATTTGGTATGTACTGTATGTACTGTATCTGTGTATCCGGTATGTATATACGTACCTACGTACTTACGTATGCATAACACAATAACACATTGGAAATACAACGTTTTTCGCGAGAAACTTTAGTAATTCAAGGGAATTTTGATAATTACTTTTTGTATTTTACTTCTCACACATTTTACGTTTTTTTTTTTTGTTCCCGAATATTAAATATGGTATTACTGCGGTAAATGCGCCGAAAATGAATTGCATGCTTCTTTTTTCATTACATAAAGTTACAAAGGAACACGAACTGAAAAAAGAAAACCCTTGTCAAGAGCACAAATGAGACACGCATTAATAAATTTACACGAAAGCATATCTAATATTTTTTTTCAAATCCTTTGTTTACATATCGATCCATATTAAGTAGAAAAAACTCGTGATTTATCAAAATAGGAATAGCTTCGGCTTAGAAAATTTATTATCAATGTTCATTGTTAGCTTTTTGAAATAAAAAAAAAGATAAGGTACGATAATGCTGATGACGAAAAAAATATTCAAGAATTTTTTAAACTAACGTCAATGTGGTGTTTATTTTG